AAAAAAAAAAAAAAAGTGATTTGATGTGTCTTAAACAATATTTAACTGTAGAGTTTTCCCAAGTTCTTTGCTTTAATTTTGCAGCCAGAGCCATTTTTCACCCTTTGAAATGCCCCAGATCATGAAAGTCACATTTTAGTTTTCAAGCGTTTTGCGATAACCATTCTGACCACAAGCAACGGGACTCTTGGTTTCATTTTTATCTCTGAAATGGTGGAAGTCCACGAAAGATTCTCTCCTCCCCCTCCTTTTCGGATTTCTAAACAACAGGCTGAACAAATGAGGGAAGAGAGATAAGTCACACAAATATTTGTCGTTACATTTATACATCCCAAATCTGTTGCAAGAGCAGAAAACTTCACATCGCGTTGGCCGCACGCCACGTCCAGCAGGAACGGATGGAAAAACAAGTTATGAGCCCCTGACCCAAGAGCATTCAGGAAATCAAATGCTCCTGAATAGTCCAGAATTACTGGGACAAAACTTGCAATCTGTATTCAGGGAGGAAACAAATATTGTGAATTGCTTTGAGGCGTGTAGGGTTATCAAGAACCACAAGAAGCACTTGGTGAATGTACGAGCAGGGATATCCCAAACATTTGTTTAATCACCCAAAGAGATCTTCCATAGATGTTCTAGCAACCATCTTCTTCACTTCAATCAGCTTCTAGGCACGTATTTTGTAGACTGCACTTGAGGAAACTGCAGAGGTAGGCCTGGGGTTTGTTCATTTGCCAATGTGGAGATCCGCCCAAGAGATCAGCAAGTATTTATAACTATGATGTCCCCATTCTGGTGTGGTAGCTATACTCTGAACTACAGAAAATCAAGTTGCTGCGTTGTCCACATTCCACACTTGAAGTTGGAATCCATCCAGGTCGTCCCATTTGACACCATCATCATATTTCTGGCCAGCAGCTTGACATGCTCAGCAAAGAGAAAATGCCCTAGAAGAATCAAGGGGGGGAACTCCGTGGCCAGTCGAAGCATTCATTTGTCCCGCTGAGAATCAGAAATCGTTCCTTCCTTTCCGACTACATAGATCTTCTTCAACCAGCAGAGGAAAAGGTAAGCATTTCTGCTGAAGCTTCCATATTCCAGATCCCACGTCCATCGGTGGACAGGAAGCATGATTGAACAGAGGCACTGTTGATCTATCGCTGAGAACCAGATAGATCCTGTTCACAATCAACTTTGGCCCCGTGCACTAGCAGCGTGTATCCAATAGATTACGCAATCTGTTGGCATCTCAGCTGTCTGGGTGGGCAAGGTCGAGTCAAAGAAATAGTTGGGACCAAGCCGATAAAGCGCCAAAAAGCCCTGAGAGTCAGCAGCAGAATATACTTTGAATAAATATTTGCTTTCCCTTGAATAATAATTAAATGCCGTTAGCGTAGCAACACCCCGTTCACTGATTCGCTTCTCCCTTCCGTGACCTTAAAATAATTGCAATTTGGCAGGAACTTTTTTTAGAGGACTTTCAGCAATTGCACAATTGTCTCGTGGGTTCACATTGGCCGTAGTTTTTGGTTTTTTTTTTAAAAAAGTGATCTACGCTGGTTTCAGGATCCCTTCTGAATTTACAGCAAGGGCTTCAGCTTCCCCAGCAAACGAGGCTTGCTGTTTTCCACAGAGGATCATTTGTCTTTGCACTTCCATCCTGAACATTTCCATAGAAAAGACAGGCTGTGTTTATGACTTTGTGGGGAAACCGTCCAAGAATAAATCAGTTTATAACCTGCCCAGGAAACCATAGGTGTCTGATAACCAGGAAACCACAGGTATCAAACTAACCAGGAAGTTTGCACAGGCTGTGTCTTTCAGAAGTGGGAATCAGCTGATAGGCTAGGTAAGTCCAAACACAATTAATTGTATGGGTGTATTTAGAAGCAAGCTGAATTGTGGTTACTGGTTTATGCTGCTTGGGGAACTCTGTGTGTGTGTGCGTGCATGTGTAAGGATTCATATTTTAAATGTTTTTCGTTTTCTTGGAAGTCACGCCAGACCAATCACTGAAGGAACATTTTTTAGAGGCAAAAGAAGGGGACACTTTGTTTTGATGGAAGAATTAATCTTAATATTTTAACCCTTCCTAAGCCATACTGAAAACTGAAGGACAAGGTTGTACCAATCTTGGGCGTTCACACCATTCACACAAGGGAACTTGTTTATTAACCATCTACGTAGCACCTTCGAGTCAGTTTTAACTCTTGGGGACTGCCTAGAAAAGTTTTTGGAGTTTTCTTGACAGGTTTTTCAGAAGCGGGTTGCCCCGGTCTCCTCCTTCCCAGGGCTGAGAGAGAGGGACTGGTCTACAGTCACCCAGCTGGTTTCGTGCCTAAGGCAGGATTAGAACTCATGATCTCCTGGTTTCTAGCCTGGTGCTTTAAAACCACTGCACCAAATTGGCTCTGGGTTTTTTTGGGGTGCCTTCGAGTCTGTTTTGACTCTTGGGGACTGCTTAGATGAATCTGTGCTGTTCTCTTGGCATCATTTTCAGAAATGCCTTGCCCTGGTTTTCTTCTTCGTAGGGCGGAGAGAGAGGGACTGGCCCACGGTCACCCAGCTGGCTTCATGCCTAAGGCAGGATTAGAACTCACCATCTCTCGGCTTCTAGCCTGCTGCCTTAACCTCTATACCAAATTAGCACTTATATATGTCTATAAGCAAGTGTTTCTCAAGCTTGGCAACTTTAAAACGGGTGGACTGCAACTC